CGGACCGGACGCGACCGAGTCAATATCGATCTGGGGAATTCTCAAGGCGGGTAGAAGGCATTTGAAAGCTACAACGGCATCTTTCAAGCAAGAGATTTTGTCTGGCAAAGTGTACAATACTGCTGCAGGCTGATGTGGTGCAGCGCAGGCAGAACAAGCGTGTGGATGTTCTGTGGTGAACGCGATCTGAGGCGATGACGCTTGATCCGCCCGCCTCGGCACGAACGCTCGGTCGTGGTTGCTGTGCAAGATGCGGCCTAGTGCGTCGACAGCGGCCCGAACTGTTTAGCTTTCCAAGATAAACAATCACAACGCGCATTCAAGCTCCGTATATAACTTTACGCAGCAAGGCTGTTGTTGTCAACACCACTCTTCGTGCCCTCCGACGATATCTGCCCGCCTATCTCATTGTCACCAACTTAGATGGAGAGTTTCCTTATACCGGCCACTGACTTGTAGCGCTGCGCCCACCATCGTCGCCCCTATAAGCCGTCCCCCGAATCTTTCGCAACAGTCGCTGTCTACCCAACATCCCTTTCCACTGCTTATTGTCACCAATTGACATACTGAGAGCAAAATGGACGCAAAGGTGAGACCTCCTTCATGTGCTGAGCTGCACCCTGATCTTGCGCGTTCTCTTGTACTGTGCGCGTCTGCAAGCTTGTCCCGTCTCGAGTCATCGCCTTCACCCAGTCAATACATCAAAGGCAGCGACTAACAAATACCCTTCTTTAGCCACAGCGCCCTATGAGAGCGCTTCGTGTACGCGACGAAAACGCGGTACCACAGCTACCCGCGGGAAAGAGTCTGCACGCGCGCACCAAGTCGACACCAGCACTCTCCACCCTTATCCAGGTCGGCGGTATCAAGGCGGCCGCAATGAAGCGCACCGTATTCGGAGATGTCAGCAACACAACTCGCCAGCCAAATGCCAAGGATGACTTGCAGGTCCCTGGTAAGAAGAAGGACCTCAAGATCCTGAAAGACGCTGCCGTAGATTCCTCGAAACCAGTCGACGCTGCGGGTGCGCTGCTTCGCCCTGCTCAGCGCGCTCTGGCGCCTCTTGCTACAAAGTCGAGCACAGGTATCACCGTAGAAGCTGTCGCACCCGCTGTACAAAAGCACGTCTCGCTTGACCTTGCGCCCCAGACAAGCAACATCCGCAAACTACTCTCCAAGAAGTCAACAACCGTCTTCAAAGAGCAGTATGTAGATGTACCTGAAGCTGCACCCGCGGCCCTCTCGACGCGTCAACCTCTAGCTTCCCAGCCTTCTTCTTTTCCCCAAGTGGACCGTGCTCCAGCACAGTCCCGCGAGATCACCGCTATTCCTGAAGAGAGCGTGTCTGTAGCGACTGAACAGAAACCAGATGTCAAGCCTGTCGTTGCTCATGTGGAGACTGAAGACCGTTATGAATACTTGGATGCTCTTGAGGAGCAAGCGCGCGTCCTTGAGAAAGAACGTAACGACGAATTGGCAAAGGCCGGCACCTTGAAGGGCCTTGACGTTGAAGAGTACTGGGATGAAGAGGAAGAGGAGGAATACTACGACGTCGACGGATACACTACTGCTCGGTCTCTGCGATCACGCGGCGATAACACCACTGGCGGTGTCACACTGGTCCTTGCCCCAAGGACGACTCTGAAGACTCAACGGGAGCTAGAGGCTGCGAGAATATTCGTCGAGGCCAATCGGTCGGCAGAAGACATTGAAGATGAGCAGTGGGACACATCCATGGTAGCCGAGTATGGCGAAGAAATCTTCGAGTACATGCATGCTTTGGAGGAGCGCATGAAGCCCAACGCCTCGTACATGGACCACCAAGCTGAGATCCAGTGGTCGATGCGATCCGTGCTTATGGACTGGATGGTACAAGTACACAACCGATTCACGCTGCTTCCTGAGACTCTCTTCCTCGCCGTCAACTACGTGGATCGCTTCCTCTCATGCAAGGTCGTCTCATTGGGCAAGCTTCAACTCGTCGGTGCCACTGCTCTTTTCGTCGCTGCAAAGTACGAAGAGATCAATTGCCCATCTGTTCAGGAGATTGTCTACATGGTAGATGGCGCATATACAGCGGATGAGGTGCTGAAGGCTGAGCGCTTCATGCTGAGCATGCTCCAATTTGAGCTCGGCTGGCCAGGTCCAATGAGCTTCCTCCGTCGCATCAGCAAGGCCGATGATTATGATCTTGAGACACGAACGCTGTCCAAGTACTTCCTCGAGATTACTGTCATGGATGAGCGGTTCGTTGGCTGCGCTCCCAGCTTCCTCTCTGCCGGTGCTCATTGCTTGGCGCGCTACATGTTGAAGAAGGGTGACTGGGTATGTCATTGCTTACACTTTGTTTGATCACAATGCTAACCTTTCTAGACGCAAGCCCATGTTCACTACTCTGGCTACACCCTCACACAGCTTCGACAGTTGATCTCCGTCATGGTGGAATGTTGCGACAATCCTCAGAAGCATCACGGTGCCGTCTACGAAAAGTACACGGACAAACGTTACAAGCGCGCATCCATCTTTGTCGAATCCGAAATTGCGAAAGGCTTCTCTCTCCCTTTTGTGTCCAGGGACAGCCTCGCGAGCCAGACCTGGAGGCGAAAGTGAATAAGCCACTTACCTCCATGTCACTCCTGAGTTGCCGTTTCTGACGAGCTTGTTAGGGGTCGAGTCGCAAAACACTTTACTCATCCCACAACTCATCAATTCATGTTGTCGAGAAGTCCGGCAGCACAGATGAGCCCGTACATTACGAGCCAGCACCTTCCACAACCACATGGTCATCACAGAAATCTTCTCCATTCTTGCTTATTGTTCTCTGACAACACACGGCGCTTTGGCGACTTTTTGAAACAGGCTCAACATGAACAGCAACCTCAGCCCTCAATCCCTCACCCTTCGTTTGGACAGGCGCACGGCGTCTATGGATTTCAGGCCTAATCATCTCGTTACCGGATCTTCCCATGGAAGCCTTTTCCTACCCAGTCATCCCACGCCCCACCCGGATTTACTGGGCTCGCGAAGGAGCGTACAGGACCAGTTTTTCTCGGCTAGTATTTTCTTGCATTGGCGGCGTGGCTTTTGGCACTTTCTCACGACGAAACGACGTCATGAACCTTCGCACACATTAACTTAATCAGTCGTCGCATGACGCGTCCGGTGTCCGGATTTTTCACCTTTCTCTTTAGGTTTCTCTTGGGTGGTCTTGGTTGCTCTTCGATGCAAGGCGTTTAGACTGGGCTTCTCTGCTATGCGAGGGTTCATGGTTGGGTTTCTTTATTCTCGGCACATGTCGCAGAGTCCATATTTCGTCCTGTCTCATAGCAAAGAAAAGCTTTTAATGCTTGTTCCTTCCAATACACTATTCGTGCTGTGCTCGTGATGAAAGCCCTGCCCTTTGTCCTAATGGGTGGAGGAGCGCAAACATGTTCGACATACTCGCGACATCATCAGACAGCATTGGTCAGCAAGTAGCATACATACGCAGAGGAATCTTGTAAGTCCATTGCTATGTCTGAAGTATGCTTTTGGCCTTGATTCCACGGGACTGGCTCGCCTACGATGAAGAGCAACGATGTCGTCTTCTTACAAGTCGGCGTTTGCCTGATGCAGACGTCATCCACCACCCTTCCTCACTTGTGTACATTGTGACCTTTCTCCTGGGTATCTCGATCGTCCATCATTCCTCATGATCTTGATGATCTTCATGTGTCTGCCATCTGAGGGCATTCTTCAATTCCAATTGTTGCTTCGTTACATGTACAACACATATGTATCGAATCACTGTGAAGCTCCCTCGGCCGGTGCAATAAGCACTACCGAATCACCTGTCTGTTGTCAAATTTATAGTCCTTGGGACCCGAGCCGTAGGACATACCTCGCACAAAGAGCATCTCGCTCTGCTTCTTGACCGTCCGGACGCGGGGCTCCAGGTCCTCCTCTTCCTCGTCGGCTACGAAAATTGTCTCCTCCACATCGCCCAGTACGAGATTGCAATGCGAATCGTAAGCCTGTATTTCGTCATGCGTCAGCCTCCACCTCTACACAAGAGCTTTACACAGCTTGAGAGCTCTAGGGCGAACTTACGTGTAGCCTTCCTTTCAACTCGCGGTCGCCACGTAATTTGACAATGACAATTTCATCAATGCAGAGGCGCACAAGATCAAGGGGCTCGTTGGTCTCTTCCTTTTCATCCATCGTGGGCAACGTCGTGTAGATATCGGATTTGTATATGGCGGTTGTAGTCGCGACACCTCCAGATTGAACTTTGGCGGCAGCGATCGGTCTTGGCGCGAAGGCGGGGACTGCTCATTCGCTTAGTTACGCTTACGATCTAGCGCCGGCGGTGTTGCGTCAGCCCAGTGATTTCAGGTTAGGGTTGGGTCATTCATTCATACCACAGCCTTGACCCGCACCTTGTGTATGAGGGCACGCAAATTCACATACACCATCGCTAAATCCACTCCAATTGCCGTCAGTACTACATTTGGATCGTTGAGTGTTCCGATATGGCCGAAATCAAGGAGCCGTCGCAGCAGAATGAACATCCGCTTTTAGACTCACGCCCGCCGGTCACGGACCCCATCACATACCTCACCATCGTCGAATACAACCTTTCCGAAGAAACCCTACCTATTCTGCACAAGGTTCTCCAAGATACTGAACTGAACCAAACGATTGGCTGGGATTTGATTCATCTGCTACTTCCGCTTTTACCCGCATCCGAAGAGTGTTTGCAGGACATTGCGACCAAGGGCAACCCCAGAGAATGCGTGCTCAAAGTCACCGAAGCGTTGCGCTTACTTGAGTTCGAAGGACGGCAGGATGAGACGGACGAGGAAGATGGGGATGCTGGACCGGGCAACCGCAAATCAACCATGGCAGAAGTCGGGATGGGTGAATCTAGCTCAAGTCCCGCGTTTCAGAAGACTGAAGTGCCTCCGCTACCTGTTCTAAAATTCGAAGTACTATTGGACATACTTGCTACACTGCATCGCCGGGTCAAGACAAAGTATCCCAGTCGATTTCTCTCTACTAGCTTACAAGCGGTACTTGTTGCATACAATAGAGCCAATACTCATGTCGAAGAGCTCACCTTGTCGGCCATCAAATTTGTCAAGACGCTTTCTGGCACTAAGAGGCCACATTTACCGTCAAGAAGGAGCAGTGGCAACCTGCTGCGCACCAACACAAACCAGTCTGAGCAAGATCCGGAAGCGCAGAGCGAAGCTCCAAGCACTGATGAGACAGAGCTGGTCAATCGTCTGCTTCAATCTTTCCTCACACACATTCTAGAGGACTATGTCCTGTCTCTGAACTCAGATGATGATGTACCTGGGCTTTCGTGGGCGAGCCGGTTGATGGAGAAGTATGAGCCACATCGCATACCGAAGAAGCCCAACTACGAAACATATGCGGATCGTTTTGCAAAAGATGAGGACTTGATGTCAAGAAGTGCGATTTTGGGGCAGGTGGTCGCTTTGACACGAGATCTGGGTTTGGACTACCAAGAGGTGCTACAAACGGTGCTTGATCCTGAAATCGAGAAGCGCGGTGTTCCCGGGACCGAAGACGAACCTCCTGCCTCTGCAAAAGATATTCCGCTGTCAAGAGCCGGCTCTTTGCTGCTACTTGCGGCGAAGATTGTGAAACAAGATCTTTATGCCTCTGCTAACGCAGACTATTCGACAGCCATCTCCATCTTTCCTGAGCATGCGACCATACTTGCTAATTTTGTTGGCACACTGGGACCTCAGACGGTTGGCCTAGAGCCTGAGGCATTGCTCGACACCATTCTCGCACTTGGCCTCATTGCACTCGAGAAGAACAACGTTGGCGAGCCCAAGGACGATGAGAGCTTTGCGCAATACTTGCAGACCATCTCCCTCATCTCATCGAATACACCATCGCCCAGTCTCCGTGGCCACGCACACTATCTCACCACCACAGTCTTGCGCTCACACCCCCACGACCTCGTCCGCCTGACTTTCATTCGCGACACACTAGAGCACTGTCCTTACGAGAACCTCAAAGCAAGCGCAGTTTCTTGGCTCAAAGGCGAGACTCTCGAAGCCAACGCTCCACATGCTCCCAACGAAGCAGACGGCACGACGAACATCTTTGCCACCCCTGTCGCCATATCAACAGTCGCACCGTACCTCTGGCCAGATCTGACAAAGCAATACTCCTTTACCGATATCAGTCTGGAAGACTCGTGGATGCAGTTCCGCCAAGAACTCGGCTTCTATGTTGCAGCTCTCAACTTTTACTACTTGCTGCTACAGGCGGAGCACTTGCGTGAAACACTGCGGATCAAGGAGTTGGCGCAACAGCATATTCAAGAGCACTACATGGATGTGTTGAAGGCAGCGGCCGTGAGGTTCCAGCAGGAGTTGGAGAAGGGAGGTGGTGCGTTGGCGGAAGAAGGTGAGGGCTTGGACCAGGCAAAGGCGGACGTGGGGTTGTTGCAGAAGGTGGTTGAGTGGGTTGAGACGGAGTTGAAAAAGACGTGAAATAGAGCGGCACACTGGGCTGGCTGGGATGAGTAAAGAAGAACAGATGATTTCTACAGGATGCATGTTGTACACCGAAACAAGGAGGAAGACATCACCATGGACTTTTTAGGGTTCGGCAGTAGATACACATGCAACACATGAATACCATAATCACCTGTATAGACCAATGACGTGTATATAAGACTTTCTTCTCCTTCCTCACACACCATCTTTCCACAAATTCTCCACACCACCTTCCCACCCGGGATTCTCTCAAACCCCAATCAAAATGATCGACTTATACGAAATGTCTCTCTGAACCACAAATGTTGTTTTGAAACAAAACGAAGATGAGCAACACACGCACATGCTGTATCAGCGTCTCCACCAGCGACACGAGCTCCGTATCCATTACTCCAAAAAAAGCATTAGACACTAATTAGCAGGTGTTGAGAATCTGCGTGGTAATACAAACAATAAATGTGTATAAAAAGTCTATTATGCCGAGATGCATCCTTCTTTTTCACAAATTAGAATAAATGTGTCAGTTTCCGAAATCACCGACTCCCGTTTGGATGGGTGGTGAATACGCAAACATCGCATCTGACGGGAATTCCCGCGCTTTGCATAACCATTCAGAAGCAGACCATGGAATCATACACACGGTCGCTCGTAACATGAGCATTGGAGTCTGGTCATCTGGAAGGTATGGTAACTTGTACACACGTTGAAGTCTGTATATGGACTTTTACCCGCACACATTCTCCATTCACTGACGATTTGGGTTTAACGGCCCGGAGGCAGTTTCATAAGCGTTGACAGTGTTGGTTGCTAAATAACGTCCTAGGACAGGGGGGCATAGTGTCATGTGAGAAGCAAATCAGTCTTTTGTAGTCTTGTAGAAGATGGTGTCATACAAGGACCCTGTTAGGTGTCTTGAAATAGGAATCGCCGTTTTTGGGAGAGATGAGGTCGAGACTAGCGTGCCTGAAATACGGGTATGTGAATGTGTTTGCGGGTTCGGGCGGGTGAGACATGGATGTTGGGTTTGGGGTGGAGAAGGTTGCGTATATTAAAGGCTGAGAATCTGCTGTTCTTGGTCTTGAACTTTGCTTTACACTGGTGGTGAAATCCTTCCGTTAAGAAATCTCAAGCTTTAGCATCGATGAACTGTGGAAGACTCTGGGGTGGAGATCGGAAAACAAAGTCGGGAGTTGTTGCTTAATGGGATTGTGCACCGTTGACGATCAACTGAGAAATCAGAGTTACTATTACATACTTTTCAGGCATTTTGAGCACTCAGTGGCTCTAGCACCGATGAAGGAGTGCGTTTATGACCTCTGTTCTGCGTTGAATTTTCTTCCAGTGCGGCTCGCATGTCTCAGTGAAACAACATCGACGCTGCTTGAGTAGAGATGTTCCATGCCTTATGACTAGGACATGCGCTCTGATCATTGAAATTCTGAAGCTTGGAAGGATTCCACTAATATCACATGGTCTTCAGCTCCTAACACGACTAACCAAACCGTACAAAAGCTCATCTTGATGCCCACAACATACATATCCCCATATTCCCGCACCGTTTACCAAAGAGTTCGTGGTCTTGTAGGATGTCACTGTGCCTCTATCCCAAAATCAAAGAAGGGACTACTTGATGAGAAAGAGAGAAGGGCAGTTCATGTTATTCCATGATCCCGAATACGATCAAAATCCGCTGTGCATTGCATGAAGTCGGCCTGTAACATATGCTAAAATAGCTACTGATAATTCACCCACACGCAGCGAAGTGTTTTGCATATATAAGGAGCCTTAGGACCTTTACTTTCCATCTTCATCCAAACTTGAAACACACAAAAATAGCCTTGTGAGTGCACGATGGAAGAAAACTTGTCTGCGCGGCGTTGGTCGTGGCTGTGGCTGGTATCCTACCATCTGCTTGTAGCAAGGGGAGGACGGCGTGAAAAAGCAAGACAATCCTGGGCACGAGAAGTCCGTCGGAAGTGTGGAAGTCAGGACGATTATCTATAATATCCTGTTAGTACGCCTGGGCAACCATGTATAAATGAAGTTTTCCTGGAATGCAGAAGACTTTCCTCTGCACCTGCGCACGATACAAGTGATATTCCCAAAAAGAAAAAACAATCCTTAATTCCACGAATGTCGTCGGACGCCGAAATACGCTTTTGGGGCAAGAAATGTATGACAGCCGTTCGCGGCTTCACTTGAAGACTTGAAAGCAGCTTATAAACACATCATGTGTTTTTTGTACAAGACGTTTACATGCCATATAGTTGTGGAAAGGAACTAAAGATGACAATACGAGCGCTCCATGTCCTCCTGACCCTTCAAAAATCTATCATGCTGTAACAGAAATGGCTAGAGTATGCGATGTACCCAAAAAAAAAACAATCGACGTCAACTTCATGATGAGTAGCCGAAAAGACGGCAAGGTACTGCATGTCTTGTCTTGCTCTGCTCGCTTGTGGGGAGTATAAAAGGCATCTCAGTGTTGCTCATTCTCTAATAGCCTGCTGTGAAGATGGGCATGGAAGCGAAGTAGCAAAAAACCCTTGATATCACTGTATGAGGAAGCCTTGCGGCTTTTTGTTTCAGGAAATGCCTTTGCCATGCTTTGAAATGCAAAACCACTAGAATATGTCTGCGTTGTTGGTATGTCTTTGTTAAAATTCCAGGAACTGCCATGTCCACGCGCTCTAGATGGGCAGCAAAGTAGTTGGAGCATGCTCGCAGAGAAAGCTATGTGTTGAGGCACTTTGTAAATGCTGGTGTGATATTTGCCATGCAGACCCTGTGGCGATATTGAACGTATTTGATGAATGGTGGAGTCGAGGCATGGAGAGGATACATGGCTTAGTCTTGTTATGTGGGCATCGAGAAGTCGAGAGGGTTTTTCGATGATGGATTTTGCAAATTAAAAAACAATGCATATTTTCGTGAAACGGTCATGCCACTTGGTGTTGGTGTGACTTGTGATACCCTTCTGCGATATGGATCAAATCAAGATTGTACTCGGCAGCAACAGACCGACAGAGGTGAGGGCATTTACTCTGATATGAAAATTTCCAGGACTGACTATAGACACTGCTGGAGATCAGCAACGTGTATTCAGGAAGGTGAAGACAGGCTGCAAGCGAGTTTGGCCACGCGACAAGCCGCGCACTCACCGCCAGAGTTTGTAGCAAACGCTCAGGTTGACAATAAAACTCCGATCGAATGAACACTCAAGATTCCAACACCAACATTACAACAGCATAATGACCACGCCTGATGATGTGCCCATTGCGCCCAGTAAGTAGTTTCCATGTTCGGTCGCGGGCTTCTCACCTTTCTTCTTGTCAACTACGCTCCAAGCGCTGTTAGCATGGAGAATGCTGAGATGAACTGACGAGATTTAATAGAAAACCACTTCTACGAGATTCGCGCGATACCTGGAAAAGGCTATGGTTGCTTCGCCCTCAAGGACCTCAAGCGTGGAAGGCGTATCCTCGCCGACCACCCCCTTCTCATCGTCCCCATGGCCGACTACCTCCAAGAAGACATCCAAACCGCCTTTGACAAATTGACTGCCACAGAGAAAGAGCTGTACTTCTCCTTGCACTCTGGCCACGGCCAAGATCCCAGGAGTTGGCCCTCTCAGATCCACCCCTCGGTCAATGGCAAGGAGCGTACGCGCATCGAACAGCAGCACGCTGCAAGGACGGGCAAGGAAGCCTCACTCATTAGCATTTTCCAGATCAACTGCATGGAAATGGATAGAGGCGCCGCCGTCTTCCCGCACGCGGCACGCTTCAACCACTCCTGCAACCCCAATGCGTGTTTTACATGGAATGCAGGCATTGGCAAAGAGACCATCCACATTATGAACGACGTCAAGGCTGGCGAGGAGATTACGTTGTCCTACTGTGACATGCTACACGATAAGAAGCTCAGGTCATGGGAGCTCAAACACTATGGCTTCAGGTGTGACTGTCGCGCGTGCGCAGAGGACGAGGACGTTGAGGACACCTTTGCTTACGAGAGTGCGGACAGGCGCTTCAGGTTGCAGGAGCTTGATCGAGAGACGAGGCTGTTGCGTGGATCACGTCTCACCGAAGGTGCAAAGGTGCCCGACTTCGTTACCAAGCTCATCCAATTGGCGGCGCTGCATCGGCAGGAGGGAGATTTCTCAGCCAGACTGGCCTGTGTGTAAGTGCAGTGTGAAAGTACGTCTCGACATTAGTTGATCATATTAGGTTTTTGGACATTGCGCTTGTCTGTGAGCTCAAGAATGAGTTCAAGTTTGCGAAGATGGCGGCCGTCTCGGCTGTTCAGACCAAGAGGGACTGTCAGGGCGAGGACTTTCCAGAGTTTGCAAAGTATGCAGATGTGTTGCACCGCATCCAGACGAAGTTGGCTATGCAGCAGGCTTAGGGTGATGGACTCGAGATGATGGAGTGGTGGGGGAGCTCATAGTGGATCAAAAGAAGGTTAATCCAGCGCTGGACTCTAGGGTGTTCAGCGAATGACAGCCTTACAGACAGCCTATTCTTGATATCTTAAAGAAGGAGTGGAATTTTGAGACAAATGTCTGGAGTCAATATTTCAGGAAGAAGGAAGAAGTGATGATGAAGTGGGGAAGTAGGGAAGTGGGGGAGTGAAGAAGTGAAGAAGTGAAAGAGGAAGTGAGGAAGAGGGATGAGGTGAAGTCGCGTCCCAAAGCAGACGGCCTGTAACCTGATTGGCTGGCGGCAGAGCCCTGCATCAGCACCCTGATGGCGCTGAAACATAGAAAGCATCACGACTCGCCCGCCAGTCCAGTCCTGAAGCTTCCACACGTCCCTTGACCTGAGCCCTCCGTACAAAGCTTCTGGCAAATCCCATCATGAAGAGCAGCCAAGACCCCGTAACGGCCAGCCATGTCCGCCATGCTGAACACACACACACACACACACACACACACACACACACACACACACACACAACCCCTGAACTAGCAGATGCGCGCGGCCACTAACTCGAGGGAGAGGGAGCCGCTGACGTCGTGTGCGTGGCGGGTACTCTAAGAGGCACGGTAGGTACGGTACCTGCGTTCCAGCGTCTGGTCATGTGTTGCATGTTTGACCTCGTCTCGCCTTCTCAATCACAACCACAAAGGTTCTTCTTCTTTCATAATGATTCTAGATCACTAAAACGCCAATCTTGCAGATTCTGCACCTCCTTAGCCTTCACTACACTACCAATTAGGCATTTTCATAGGCCTATCAAGGATTGCCCTTCGGCCCCTTCCACAAACGCTTTTTGGCTTCGGCACAACTGGCTTCCGTAAAGCTGAGCGATCATCCATCATAACAGCACATTCTGCACCCACGACCACTTGTAGTCGCGCAACTAGCTCCCCTCGCCATGGAGACTGCAAATACTAAACGTACTGCCATGACACCTCAGCCCATCGACACCACTGCGGCGCAAGCATCCATGGCGCAACCACCTTCTCCACCACATTCGCAAGCAGACTTCAACGCAGGAGCCAAATATTCTCTGGATGCAGTAGATGCCTCCACACCGCCATTTTCACCATCGAGCCAAACGCCAGTCCTACAGAAGGAGCAAGAGGAGTTTGAAGGGACCGTCAATGTCAACAATGACTTGCCATCGTCTGAGGATCTGTCGCGGGTGGATGATCTCCTAGTACTAGATGCTCAAGGACAGAGTCGACCGTTCAAGGAATTGTATAAAGCGCCACACATCGCGCCGCGACAACTCATCATCTTCATTCGACATTTCTTCTGTGGAGTCAGTTTTGCCATGCCAGTCAACCCGCTACCCGCATTTACTAACCGTGAACAGAACTGTCAAGAATATCTGCGCACCCTCTCGTCCTCGATCAAGCCTGAAGACCTCCTGGCACTACCAGTACCAACCTCAATCACCGTCATTGGCTGCGGCCGACCAGAGCTAATACCCATGTACACCGAAGCCACGTCCTGCCCATTTCCAATCTACGCTGAACCAACGCGCAAGCTCTACGACCACCTTGGTATGACACGGACGTTTGACCTTGGCTCTAAGCCGGCATACATGCAGACCAACATGCTCATCAACTCGGTACAATCGATATTCCAGGGCTTGAGCACGGGCAAGAATGCGCTAAAAGGCGGTGATATGAAACAAGTGGGCGGCGAGTTTCTCTTTGAGAATGGAGAATGCATGTGGGCGCACAGGATGAAGACGACAAGAGGGCATGCCGAGGTCTCAGAGCTCAGAACCTTGATAGGTCTCGATGGGTCGCGGCCGCCCTTGAGAAAGCGGTGGAGTCATGGCATAAAAGAGAACAACACAGAGAAGCGACGGAGCATCAGCTGGGGCAGACTGAGGAGCCTGAGCAAAGGAGTCAGAGATCGGGACGCAAGTCGCAAGACCACACCTGAGAGGGTGGAAGAAGAACAAGATCCGAGGAAGCTTGCTGGAAAATCGACGGCATGAACATGGGCATGCAGACCGGGGGTACTTGTATGACAGCATTTCTGGCGTACTCGGCATTCCAAAAAAAACCAGATGCTGGTGTAAGAGTCTGAGGGAATATGATTGGCTGCGTTCGCCTAGTATGATACCATTCTTTACTTGCCGCTCTAGCATGTTGTTCTCAAACCTACTGTTGAAATCCCTGATGGAAGCATCTGCCGAATGCTCAACAACCCGAATCTGCCCGAAGACGGTGAACGCCAACAGGTATATTGTTTGGCCGGCAGAAGGAGTCAAGCGATGTAGCGTCAGGTACAAGAATATGGATTCCAAAAGATCGAGGTACTCTTCTTGGGACTGCAACATTTGCGGTCATGGCTGATACCATACGTAGTTTATACTCTGATCGTTTACCTAGCATTTACGTCACCCAAATCTGGCAAGTCTGTCCGCAACCCTACTGGCAGCATACGCTCCCACTCTCCGCGCCAAGCCCCTTGTCCATTGCCACCAAATATCTCTGCAAGCAGTTGAACAGACCCAAGTAAATTGATTAATGCTGCGCCATGGCCTTCAAATCTTTGCCTTGTCGGTGTATTCCGAGCGCGGCACGAGCTTGAGCCTCAAAGCGCGAGTGTTGCGCGAGACCGGCCGAGCTTAAGCCGGGAATGAGGGGCAGCTCGAAGGGCGGAGGAGGGGGGTGCGGATGACGATGACACCGAACCCCACTACGAGACCGACCCAGATAAAAACACCCGGAGCCGCTCGATTAGCTTGGGATAGGTCTGACTTCCCCTCATTGAATTGTTTATATATCTCCTTGTTCTTCTCCCCCGACTTTTCTTGCTTGGAAAAAGACACCAAGATACCCAAATCGACGTTTTCCGCACACCATGTCTGACACGACTGGAAAGGTAAGTTTTCCACGATTCCACAAGATAGAACGGGAGAGAGAGAGAGGGGGGTGGGGGGGGGGAGAAAGGAGAGAACAGAAGAGGACGGGAGAGAGCAATGACCTGTCGCATTGAATTCCAGCTGACGATGCACCATACAGACAATCACCTGCAAGGTATGTGAGCAGCCTCCGCATGGACAATTCTCATACCTCAAGCCCCATTAATCATTCTTCTGCACCACTTTCCTCTACATCCCCCATATCCAGTTACCAGATGCCTGCGGCTTGGCATGCAGAACCGCAGTTGTAGAAGCCTGAATGCGCTGATAGCTGAACACATTTCATCATGCATCGCCGAGTCGGTGCTTTGAAGCCGACAATATGACGAGAGATCCGCACACATACATACATGGATGATGAGGGGTACTAGCTGCTAACTAGAGCATAGGCAGCAGTTGCCTGGGAAGCTGGCAAGGACCTCACCGTTGAGGATGTCGAGGTTGCACCACCCAAGGCACACGAGGTTCGCATCCAGATCTACTACACTGGTGTTTGCCATACCGGTATGTCTTTTCCGCTGGTTCCATACAATGCTATCTGCAGCAGTTACTGGCAATGTGCCACAGCACGACCACAGTGTTGATTTCACCTGCCACTTCACACGCTAATCATGCCCAGATGCCTATACACTGTCAGGAAAGGACCCCGAAGGTGCTTTCCCCATTGTCCTTGGTCATGAGGGTGCCGGTATCGTCGAGTCCATCGGCGAAGGCGTCACAAACGTAAAGGTCGGCGACCACGTCGTTGCACTATAGTATGTCTCCAAGGTTTTGCCTTCGCCAACTATCGACTAACAACCCACAGCACACCAGAATGCAAGGAATGCAAATTCTGCAAGTCTGGCAAGACGAACCTCTGCGGCAAGATCCGCGCTACACAGGGCAAGGGTCTCATGCCCGACGGTACCTCGCGCTTCAAGTGCAAGGGCAAGGACCTCCTCCATTTCATGGGCACATCCACATTCTCCCAGTACACCGTCGTAGCCGATATCTCCGTCGTCGCCATCACCGAGAAGGCCCCCATGGACCGTACTTGCTTGCTGGGCTGTGGTATCACTACCGGTTACGGCGCCGCCGTCATCACCGCTGGCAAGGGCGGTGTAGAGGAGGGCTCTAATGTCGCCGTCTTTGGTGCTGGCTGCGTCGGTCTCTCTGTCATCCAAGGTGCTGCTAAGAACAAGGCTGGCATGATTATTGTCGTCGACGTCAACGACGCAAAGGAAGAGTGGGCCAGGAAATTCGGCGCAACACACTTTGTCAACCCCACCAAGCTCGGCAAGCAGAGCATCCAGGAGAAGCTCATTGAGATGACCGACGGCGGCTGCGACTACACCTTTGACTGCACGGGTAACGTCAATGTCATGCGCGCCGCGCTCGAGGCCTGCCACAAGGGCTGGGGAGAATCCATCATCATCGGTGTCGCGGCCGCTGGCCAAGAAATCGCAACCCGTCCCTTCCAGCTCGTTACCGGCCGTGTATGGAAAGGCTGCGCGTTTGGCGGTGTCAAGGGCCGCTCGCAGCTACCCGGTCTCGTCGACGACTACCTCAATGGTGACCTCAAGGTTGACGAATTCATCACCCATCGCCAGCCGCTCGACAAGATCAACCAGGCCTTTGCCGACATGAAGGCAGGCGACTGCATCCGTTGTGTCGTCAACATGCGCGAATAACTACGCTCGGGCCCCCAAGATCAAAGTATGAAAGCCAAGCTATGAATAATTTTTTCGTTGCATTCTACTCAAACCAATTCACGAGCCAAGGATTTTATAACCTGTCCTAGTGTATACGTGAGTAGAGGAGATTGAGTGGAGAAGCATGATGATGGTGTTATTGTTGTTGTGCAATACTGCTACTGATGATGATGAAGCATGTATGACGGCGTTGAGCTGGACTGGGGCGCGCCTGGTTGCCCTTTTTTTCTATACACATACTTTGGTCTGGGGCGTAGGCTGTTTCTATCCAAAAGATTAAAAGGAAAAAACAAAATAGAACGAAAATGAATGAAAAAAGAATAGAGTTAAGCGCTTGCTCATTAACTATATTGTGACATGATGTATAAGGATACATGAAGTTGTCTAGATAGTGGTATCGCGTGGTGTTCACGTGGTGTGCACCTGACTCTCCACGTGCATGTCCCAGGCTGCACGTGATCAAAACGGTCTTCACGTGATTCCCTCTTACCCCATGACTGCATCAAACGTCAAATAAACGACGAACTGCCACAAACTGCAGTATATAAACACCCCTCTTCCACTCCGCCTCCATCCCCCAACCTTCTCTCTTACACACATCAACCACCTGTCTAAAAGGCCAGATTTAACTTAATGTGGGATTATTCCCAAAGAAGAAAACTACGACTTCAGAAGTGCATATGTGAGAATCTTTGCTTTTGCGTTTTCCACGAATTCTCGTGGGAGTGCGGAATGCGCTGTGGAGGTCAAAATGGTAATCATTTAGGCCCTATGTGGATGGGTGTGTCTTTGTTTCGGGGGGAGGGGGGAGCAAAGATGAGTGCTGTTATTGCTGTGGATACTGGACATTGGAGTGCGGTATCAAAGAAAGTGGCAGATGATGTATGGATTTGGTATGGCAAGTAAAAACAATACAGCAGAGAATACATGTTGTGGTCTGCTTTTTCGAAACGTATTTGTACAGCCCACATGTGGTCGTGTGTGGATTAGAGAAAAACCGGGACATGAGGAACATGTCGTTGGGGGTTTTTTTTCTCGATACGATGAGAACGGGACATACGATATATGGACTTTAGAGGAGTTGGCTGGCTTAACCATGGATGCAACCCTCAACCACAAATTCCATGCTCTTGAGCACTGAGGTAAAGATACCGGAATGGCTTGAGAAGCCTTCTATACAAAAACCCACGTTTCGAAGAAGTAGACCTTCTATTATAACCAGATAGCCTGCGATCTTTCAAAGCAATAAGATTTCCCAGCCATGTAAAGCTGGGCTTGTCGAAACCGAACGCAAAGGCAATCTTGGGATATTCGCTTTGTGTAAAGCGGGAACAGTAGGGATGACAGTATATATTCGGTGAAGAAGTATTTGAATTTTCGCAAGCTTCAGTGTACAACTTCTATCATATCGTCCCCCCACCTCAGGAGCCTGAAAACAATCCTTAAAACTTACTAATGACTTCTTCTTCCTCTTTGACTGTCCTCAAAATACTTCCTCGACCGCTTCAGAAATCTGGTTGCGACTGGGGAGGTACCGAAAACTTGAACAGAAAATTTTGGAGACATCGTTGTGCAAAGCAAGGATGTGAAAGGAGGATGTTTATCGGGTCAAGCAACACATTAGCAAGGGTGCCCCCAAGTATGCGCCACACGAACAAGAAACAAAACGTCTCATGTCTGAAGCAGCGTTGACAGCAAATCATCCCAAAAACGTATTTTTACAAAGAACAATGAGAAAGCAGCAAAACACCATCAAAATACTGGGATAAATACCATTAATAAGCACTATAAGATCCAAACGTTCCCAAGCTCCAAGCATTCTGACAATTCATACTACCATCTCTCTTGCATCCAGCCATTATTGTGAATTTGACAGATCCCCTGTTTCTATACCAGTACGAGCACAGCTCGACTCCATCCCAGCTTTTCCTAGCCAAAAAAAAGGCTATATGTACCTCGCCATCTCATCTACAAACAACACTAGTGTACCCCTCGAGCCGTACTACTCCTCATATCTCCATCCTCGTAGTTGCTCAACTCTGCCAATATGAGCAGTGTATCTAAAACTCAAATTCGCCATCAAGCAACTCAACCTCCTCCTCCTGATCGTCATTTGTAAGCGCGGGTTCGCTGTTCCCAGACTGACGCTGAGTCCTATCCTGCTCACGCTGATTCCTCTCCGCCTGACGCTTGCGCGCAGCAGCGCCGGCGACAGGGGCCGTGGCGGGTAGATTGCCTGTGTTGGAGCCGGCGGTAGATGCACCGTTGGTAGCACCGTTGATTGCGGCAGGGCTGTTGGCAGAGGGAGACTGAGCGAGGTTTCCGGTGTTGGTGTTGGTGTTGGTATTGCCAGCGTTGTTGATTGTTCCTGCTGTTCCAGCCGTACCAGTAGTACCGGTGTTGGCAGTGCCAGCAGTACCAGCGTTGGCATTGTTTCCAGCAGTGCCAGCAGTGCCAGCAGTACCAGCAGTGCCAGCAGTGCCAGCAGTACCAGCAGTGCTAGCAGTACCAGCAGTACCAGTGTTGGCAGTACCAGTGTTGGCAGTACCAGTGTTGGCAGTACCAGTGTTGGCAGTACCAGTGTTGGCAGTACCAGTGTTGGCAGTACCAGTGTTGGCAGTACCAGTGTTGGCAGTACCAGCATTTCCAACATTCGCGGCAGTGCCAGCGTTTGCGGTACCAGCATTAGCAGTGCCAGCATTAGCAGCAGTGCCAGCGTTGGCAGCAGTTCCAGCGTTGGCAGCAGTTCCAGCCATTTGTACAGGAACACAGCCACCGAAAGGTCCAGCACGTGCAGGGTTCTCGCAACGAACCATGCAAACGTTGGTCTGGCCAGCAACGGTACCTGTGCAAGTCTGGCCAGCAGGGATCTCAGCAGTCAAAGGAAGATCCTGCATCTGGGTATCCCGGTTGCGACCACGCTCATTGCCCTCGAGGTTCTGAGTGACGGTCATTGGCTGCCAGTTGGTACCGGTACCGGTGGCGTCGATCATGCAGGTGTACTGACTAGATTAGCTTTTTGTCATGGTTTGGAACGGATGAAGGAAGTAATACCGGTCCAGCCCCATCACTGTTTACTTGATGGACAGTCATCATGATTTGTCCACCAGCAGAGACTTGAGGAAGAGTGGCCCCGTTTTGGGCCATGACCGCAGCAGTTCCGGCGTCGATATCATTGTCACCTCCACCAAGAGTCTCACCGCAAGTATCTGCGGCATCACCGCGGAAGCGCGTGGCGTCTTGTTGGAAGGGATTGCGGCCTGTGCCATCACGAGGAGTAGCTGGGTCAACACCGATTGCAGAACCTTGGCCACCCGCATCACCAGTAGCACCGACAATTGCGCTGTGGCCAGCCACAAGCGTAGAGGAAGCCAGAAGGCTAACGGAAACAGCGGAGAGCTTGGAGAAGTACATGCTGAACCGGTCAGATGATTTATGATTAAAATAAGTGAGAGGGCGAGAGTATTAGATACAAGAGAAAGAGGAGAGAAGTAGCGATTACTATCGAAGCTGAGCTGGGAACCTGAGTGCTGAATGCCATTCTTCGACTGTGGTGCTACTCTACTTTATACCTGATATCAGATATTGCCACCAGCCATGATGTTCTGTGAAGTTGCCAGCCTACACCATCCTCACGTGTGTCGCTTAGACTGGTGAAGCGCTTCAGTTTCGTCCACAGCATGACACTATGGTGGAAACCAGTTCTGAGGAGGATCTTGATGCACAAACTCTATCCCTCGGTTCGAAATTCGACTGGTTGTAGGTGTTCGAAACGTGAGTGAAGTAAAGATAGAGCGCAGAAACGAGTTTGGTCCATCTTGGCACTCGTTTGACAGATTCCAAGGTTTGGAGGCACGAATAAGCGCCCGTTAAGAGCGTTTGGCTGCGCTCATGAGACAGTGATTTGCAAGTCGTTCACGAGATCGACGCTTTAGGAAACGCGAGTCAAACCAATCATTGAGTGAAAATCCTGAAGAAACCATGAAGCTATGCTAGAACCAGTATATATCTTGTGTAACATCTGATTCAGGAACTCACGATACCTAAGCATCAAACTATTTGTGGCTATAAAGCTTAGGGGGCAATTGAAATCTATCCTTGCGATGAAACCGGAGTGGTTGAGGTTCACAACTCCATGCACCTTGTCTTGAACCTTTCGCAAAGTTCACATGAGTAGCTCTGTTTGACACACATAACCACAATTGTGCTTTTGTGGTCGTTGCTGTGGTAGTAGGCAGCGTAAATGCAAGTCACAGTGCAGTGCTCTGCAACCTCGCATCTTTTCCAGCGTGGTCCCAAAGATGCGCGCACCTTGATCCAGAAACGTTTTTCAAGCTCAGCCGGAAGAGAGTATGCCGGATGGCCTGGGTGAAGCCACTCACGATGGTGTTTCACAGCACGGGTTTCCCCAGTCCCGAGTTAGGGTTAGAGCTCGTCTGGTGAGGCATCGCTAGTTTCATACACGAGAGAACGAGATCTGGGAAAGTTTCTGTTCGTTCGGTGTGTGCAGAATCCGGCCAATGGACTGCCATTTGTGGCTTGCTGTGCGGAAAGGGTGCTAGACCATTGTTGGTAAGAGGAGCGGAGTGAAGTGGTGGTGTGAAGGTAACGCTGCGCTCACCATATTAGTTACCGGTATATTTTAGCCTCGTTACGGCAGGCGGCTACACCCCTATCCGTTACTGGCCCCCAATCCTGTGGTAGACTATGCAATACTATCCCCAAGCAGCCGCAAGACTAACATTGCTCCTCTTTGAGATGAAGAGTCTTTTTATTTCACGCTCGCCTTGGCTTTGGATTGAACCTCTTCAAGCTTTGGGAAAATGTCTATTACCGACAGTTGTAGCAGCGCCCAAAGCGACCGGGAATTTTGTAGCTGCACAGGAAACCCAACGCATAGGATTGAATCAAGCCCTTGGATCGTTATCATCGCCAGGCCGTCTGATACATTGTGTATCGGCCTGCATCAGCACATATAGCCTTTTAGCCACCTCTGAGACATCCCGTAACGATAAAGCTAGTTGGTAGTTACGGAAACGTTGTTGTGAGAATCTCAGTAGGGACTGGGATTGGAATGCATTCTGGCCAATACTAGAAAGATGGGTATAGAATGCTTCAACTGACTACGAATGGTTACAAGCCTGGGTGCATCAATCAGTGCGCTTGAGGTGAAGAGCCAGGTAGAGAGTAAGCTCGGCATACGTCATCCCGACTATCGGCCTCTTTACTTCTACCATAGCTGGCGATACCGGTAAGATCTGCAAAAAAATCATCAAAGATTACACAATACATTCATTGTCAAAAATAACAAAACTCTTGATAATGCTCTATGCCTCAGTCATTATCTAGACAAGTACCCGTGATGGATCAAGATCAGCCTGTCGATGTTCTGATCTGATCATATCTGAATTGCACTGTGGTAATGGAGGCTGTGCAGCACCAAGTTCAGTCGCCCGCTAATCCCTCTGCCAGTATGATATCTCTCGTGCAAGTAACTATCCTGGCTCTATGTGGTCACTTGGCCACAGCGCAGACCATGCCATTCGACGCACGAGAAGCGACCATCGACTCAGTTCACCATGCCCTGTACTCTGGTCTCACTACATGTCGCGAGGTAGTATCCTCATTTCTGGCCCGAATCGAGGCCCATAACCATAGGACAAATGCTATTATTTCTCTCAATCCAAATGCTTTGGCTATTGCAGACTCCCTGGACGACCAATTATCCGCTGGCAGTGCGACTGGGCCGCTATTCTGCATTCCTATACTGTTGAAAGACAATTTCGATACCGAGGACATGCCAACTACGGGTGGAGCTCTTGCTCTGGCCAAGTCGCAGCCTATGGAAGATGCCCCTACTGTAGCGGCTCTGAAGGAGGCAGGAGCAGTTATTCTGGGCAAGGCAAATCTGCACGAGCTTGCATTGGAAGGGATCAGTGTTTCGTCTTTAGGTGGGCAGACCATCAACCCGTACGACTCTACACGAACTCCCGGGGGTAGTTCTGGAGGCACTGGAGCAAGTGTCTCGTCTTCCTTTTGTGTCTTCGGGACCGGGACCGATACAGTCAACTCTCTTAGAAGTCCCGCCTCGGCAAATTCCCTTTGCAGTATTCGGCCCACGCGAGGTCTCATCACTAGGACGGGAGTTATCCCAATCTCGAAAACACATGATGTCATTGGACCTATTGCGAGGACAATCAAGGATGTCGCTGTTGCGCTTACGGTCATGGCATCTACAGGGTACGATGCAGCTGATAGCGCAACCGGACTTGTCCCAACATCATGTCGAAACGTCGATTTTGCAGCCTCTCTCCCCAAAGCCTCCTTAGAAGGTCTAAGGATAGGTCTTTTAAACGGATTCTTCAATCGAACCGACTCACCCGAAATAACACCGGTGAATAATGTTATGGATGTTGTCATGTCGAGATTGGAAGCCGAAGGCGTAAAATTGATTACGATCAACGAGCCCATTTATAATGCTACAACCATCCAAGCCGCACTTGATGTCCAGCGGTTTGAATACCGCGAATTAATGGACGTGTACTTGCAACGTCCATCGCTATCCGGAGACCGTCCTCGGACGCTAAAGGAGCTGTACTCGCGCAAATCCCACAACGGCACAGGTGGAGAGTTCGTAGTTTTGCCATCTCAATACGAGTATGTCAATACAGCGCTCATTTCCTCGACTAGCAATGCCACATATATCCAGCGCCAGGACGGTATCCGCCATCTCACCATCGCTTTCCTCAACACTTTCGCATCCAACAATCTCGACGCAATCATCTACCCCGAGCAAAAGAACCTTGTCGTGAAGACTGGTTCAGCTTCCCAATCCGGACGCAACGGCATTCTTGCGGCTCTGACTGGTTCACCTGTAGTCACAGTGCCAGCGGGTTTCAGCGAGCCAAACGATGATGCGCCGGTTGGAGTACCCATCGGCATGGAGATTTTGGGTCGGCCATGGGATGACGAGAAGCTGCTAGGCATTGGATATGCAATTGAACAGCTATTGAAGGTGAGGAGGCCCCCAAAGTGGGCGACGGAGGTGGTGGAAGTTCCACAGTATACAGAAGTACCCAAGGTTGCACCGAATAGAGGGAATATACCGAGTGTGTACCCTTTAGGAACACTCTAGGCCTAGGTGAGATTACAATAAATTTGTCGAGGTCGATTCCACGACGAGTCTAATATGATCCATGTGGATATAAACACCCATCACCCGATTACCCAAGCACGATCCTCAATCCCCACTCCCTCCTGATCATACACAACAAATCTCATCCCTCCTAATTATACACAACAAACCCCTCCCCCTCCCCACCCTCCTTAAACTCCAACCCACACTCCCCCTCCAACTCCCCTACCCTCCTCAAAAACACCCTCTGCGCCCTCGCCGCAGTCCTCCAGCGCGCCCCCAAATCCACCATATCCGCACCCACCTCCCCATCCTCAATCCACCTCCCTTCCCCCGAATCCTTCACCGTCTTCTCAATCTGCTGCATCTGCACGCGGTGCGCAGTGCAAAGCGCCATGGCGCGCATGATGGTCCCGAGTTGTGCGGTCCAGTGGGCTAGCTCCGTGGATGGGAGGATGGTGTTGAAGCGGGCGGCAAAGGCGATGGAGGACTGGGTTTGCGTGATTGAGGTGGTGAGGGTGCGGTGGTGGCGGTGGAGGGATGCGAGGATGGTGTCGATTTGGGTGGTGAGGGTTTGGAGGGTGTTGAGGAGGGAGGTGCGGGTAAGTGGTTGGCGGGTGGAGGGAGAGGCGCGGGGGGTGGTAGTTCTGGTGATGTTGTTGGTGGACATGATTGAGGCTTTTGTTGGTTTGGGAAGAGTAAGGTTTTGGCTGATTTTGATGTGGGTTTTATGGGTACCGGTGCTGTGTGTTTACTCTGGGTCGTTTGTTTGTGCAAACGACTTCGCCATTTTCGGTACTCGGCGGTGGAAAGGTGTACTTGGACTCGGTGCCTCGCGTCTTGTGTATACTGCTGCTTACTTGTAGATTTCACCCCATTTATAGTACGTGCAACATATGGGGGCTTGTTGTTATGAATTTATAATCGTGCCGTGTGTTTCAGCATGAGATAACATGCGTACAAAACACAATGCTGAAGCTAACAATGTAGGCTCTTTTCTACAATAACCCATCCTTCAAAATCATACTACCTATATGAATCATGAAAGGACGGCGTCCATGAAGACCATCACGTCGACCCATCGCTTGGTATCGCAAACAACTCTCTTCTCCGCCCCAACCCATCACAACTCGCAAACTTCCACCATCCCCAGTGCACCGCGCCCGCCACATTCACCAGACCCCAGCGCACTGGCGCCGGCATAGGCGGCCAATTCGCCCACAAACCCCCCTCGTAGTCTGCATCCAAGTTCATCAAAAAGAAGGGCACGACGTCATACGTTCCTGCCTTGGTGACTGTCTTCTTACCCCAAGCTTTGAAGACGGCAGCAGCTTGTGCGGCTTCCGGGGAGTTTGGCGCTGGAGCGGATGGTAGGTCGCCAAATGAGGCGATGGTAGTGATTTCGTGCTGAAAGTGGTGGCAAAATGGGTCTTGGAAGGATTTCATGATGTTGATGAGGTGGTTTCCATCGAATGCATGGGGTGTTTCTAGATTGCTCAAGTAGTTCTCAAACTCGACTAGGCCACCTAGGAATGATTCTGCGGTTCTGGTCAGACCTATATAGCTTCAAGCAACCTGCATGAAGTTACCGTGCTCTTGATATGTCTCTTGCCAGATATCTTTGCTACCCAGTACCTCTTCCACTTTGGGAAACAGCTCGGCTTCTTCATCATCGTGATGGCTTTTCACGAATCGATACCATGTCAACGCGTACCCTACAAACGCCGAATTGTCTGCTTCTTGAACGTGTGGAGCTTGAAGATAAATTGAGTTATACCCTCTAAGTATGGCGTTATGAATATGTGCCATATGTGTTGCCCCCAGCGTGAAGATGTCGTCCTTTTACTGTCAGCCTTCAATCCCAGCAAGCACGACGCCCACCACAAGCACCTTCTTCGTCGCATACTGCGGCGTCGTTATCAATGCACACGGACTATCAGCCCATGGCTTACCAGTAGTCTCGGTCATGATCGTTGGACGAAGCCACTCGATGGATATAGCAAGGATGAGCAATAACACGAAAGAAACAGTTGTTGCGCTGGGCATTGTAAAGACCTTAGTTGTCCATTTTGGAGTGCGGAGGTGATCCGAGATATAAGAATACAGATTCGTGGAGGAACGATCGCGTGTCGCGAAAGTGGTGCGTGGTGGTGTGATCCATCGTAAGACAATCCGTCGAGGCGCTGATTGGCCCAATTTACGGCGAGTGTGGTGTTACGGATGTATAGTGAGATGAAAGATTATAATGGAGTACAGAATTCTTGGAAGGGAGAACATGGACGTATAAGGTACGAGAAATAATCTCAAAGAGCCTATACAAATACTACAAGGAGGAAATACTAAGTGGCTCTTTTTTTTTCTTACATTTCTCCTTCACAAATGAAATATATTTCACACGGATCCATTACTAGGAGTGCATTGTGTTGAGTGCCTATAGAACACCAACACAGTCAGTAACATGAAGATGAAGCGGGGAGTCACCAACGCGATCAAAAGACCTCCGTATATCCTAACTGCCATCCGTCTTATTCCAAAGGGACAAATCCTAAACGGCTGCAGCTGGTCTGGCAGCTGAAGGCGCCCAGAAAGGGCCGTCACCTATAACTCCTACGCCCAGGCCATACCGAAAGTGATTGTTTCGATTCTGTTCCAGCGGCCGATCATCGCATTTCCAATTGAAGGAACCCAAGGTGCGAGGCGAAGTAGATGATGAATAGGGAAGCTTTTCAAATAATGAGATGCTCATCTGCGGCGGTCATGTCCTCGCGAATGGGATTGGGTATTCAGACAAGATGGCAAAGTTATGGAGGACGCTGGGAGGCTTCTGTGCTAATTGAAGAAGGGTTGGACAAAGGGACTTATTGCAGCACTGTGATGATTAGCATCACTTCTGACCAGCCTTGTCATCTCGAGCCATGTGCCCTCCCGTTGTGTGAAGCCCAAGATGTACGGGGACTGGGGCCAGAATAGGATCTCTAGCTTGTGCTCTTGCTATCATGTCTCAGCTCAGTGAATGCTCATCCTAGTGATCGAGAGTGATAAAGCAGCACCCACCAGGCAGCAGGACCCTTGCCGCACTTAGCTGGGAAATTGCTACTCCTGGATCGAAGTGTGTCAATCACTGAATTATGGTCGTGTTGGATCGCTGAAATGTGGGAAATGGCACGGTGCTGTGAGCTTGTGTTGGGGGGCGTGTTCAAGACTGTGAAAGATGGCTGATAGTCCAGGTCGACAGGCAAGAAGTACGCGAGTCAGTGGCTGAAGAAGGTAGAGTACGGCAGGGTTTCAAGAGGTAGGCAATATATCCAAGCTCTTGCTTTCATGACTCGCTCTGATGGTTGTCGCACGTGAATGCTGGAGTGACACAGTATCCCGAGTCGCGTCCAATCGTGCATCTCACTGTCCAGTTGGGCGTAACGTGCACCAGACGAATAGAAGATAACACTGGCAGGCCTGTGAAGGGTCGGGGTTGTGTCCAGCGGGCGGTTGTTGGCTGCCATGAGGCATGGGTGATGGTACTACGGATCGAACTGCGTGTCCAACTTCCTCGTAGGTACTGCACAAATAACAACAACGTGCGTCCGATGTGAATTCGCCCTGGACACGGACTATAGCAATCCTCTTTGGCAACATGTGGTTCTTGTACCGGTGTCGGTCTGGTGTGTCAAGATGAAGGTGCCCGGTTGCAAGCTACGTAGTATGCAGTAGCGGAGGAATAATTGTGGGGTGGCGACCGATCGTGATTTCTCGGGACCTGAAGAGAAGATCTTCGCGCGTTGATGAGACCGAGTTTTGTGCTGATTGTCTCGTTACCCCCACGACCTCAGGTCAGCAATGATGATTCTGCAAGGCAACTAAATGGATGCACGGCCAGCTCGACGGTGACTGCTCGTGTGACTTGTAGGCAAGTACACCAATCATGTGCTGTCGATGACGCGTTTACACGCCTCAGACGAAGTACAACTCACCAACTAAAAAGCCGTGCATGGCGCAGTACCGCCGGTTGCCTTCACGCGTCGCAAACTTGAAGCTTTCCATCTCACCGTCGAAATTCGAAAGTCCGCTAACTGTATTTCACTAACCTACAGCAACGCGACCTGGCCTTTCCCATCAGAATGATTATTAATTTTGGGGACACCATCAACGTTTGCATTCACCAACCTATATCTCAATACCACCTTCCACATGGCCATGTTGCTCAGTCCCACAACGATGCCTTTCGACACTCGGTCGCTGGGCTTTCAAACCTACTACGGCCACCCGAAGATTTTCGCAACCAAATGCTGGCACGAAGTCCATCCCGCCAGTTCCAGACGTACTCCATGGTGTCCGACATGCGCTGCGGCGCGAGCAAGAGCAAGGCTCGACGCTGCACAGAGAAATCTCGTGGCTGAAGGAGGTCTGGCACCCGCTGAATTCATGCGCGATCGTCGGTGGAACACGGCGAGAATAAAACACAACATCGCCAAACAACGACGAGAAAGAGAGAGAAAACGGGATCAGCTACGCTGGGAGCGGGAGCAGGCGTGGGACGAGGCGCACCGACAGTATTACTCCCACCATCCCCAGGCAACAGCCGACTTCACAGAATGTGCGGAATGCCCCTTGTGCACATCGACCATGGTAGAGCAGACGACCGTTGAACCAGACATACAGACCACTTGCGAACTAGCATGGTGGGAGCACCCAGGCGCACTACTTGTTGAGCACGGTGTGATGCCAGACACGCCGCCGCCTTCACGCAACCGCCGGCGGAAACCTGAACCTCAACGCGAGGGATCAAAGATTCTGCAACACATAATACAGAACCGTCGCGCATCCATGCACGCTGCAGAAGTGCAAAGACAAGCCTGGGAAGCTCGACATAGGAAGGAGTGTGCAGTACGGCGAAAACACGGGTTAGGCGAGGATTATCCGATCTACCCCGAGTTTTGGGATGCGCCCATTTCGGGATACATCAGCCTTCGAAACCATCAAAAGATACTCGAAAATCAGCGCATGGCCGAGCGAAAGAAACGTGGAAACAGGCCGCGATCACGGCCGCCGCGCAGCTCCTTGTCCTATTCAGAGACTTTGGAGAGCTGGGAAATCGATCAAGACTTGCTCGAGGCATTGTGTCAGGAAGAAGAACGCGCCAGAATAGCAAAAGTGTCCCGAAAAGTGGCAGAGGAGGTCGGCTATCTCTACTTTGTTGGCGCTATCGATGGAATGGAAGAGTGGAGGGACGACTTTATGCGCAGCAATAGGAGTCTGGTTGTAAGAAGCCACATTGCAAACTCGGAGACGTCGGGCAGCGAGGACAGTGCTGATGGGGATAGTAAAAACGATGAGGACGATGAGGACTATGTCGACAAGATGGATATTGATGAATGAGAGAAAATGGCATGGGGAATGCAAACGGGGTGTGGAGAGAAGTAATGGTTTGTGGAAACGATGATCATCCATGTAACACACTTGTACACGTCCGGCGTCGATGGCAGTACACATCTCTCCCATAGCATTAGCAAAATGCATAGCGCCAAATCATATTTCCAGCCTGCAGCAAGGCAGCAATCGAGGCACGAATGAGGTGAAGTGTACGATTATAGTATTGTATGAGTGAAAGGCCATGGGAACATTGATATTGACGCCACTAAATCAGGATGTTACTCGGATGATGCTAACCCCCACCCATCCGTGTGCTTGGCTGAGGAATGACGTGCAGTAATCTTGGACTCGATGCAGGCATCCTCAAGTAAAGTACCTTGTTAGATGATGTATGTGTACAGTATCTCAGGTGTCGCTTCCATTTATTTCAATCTGATGGGTAAACAATTTGAACGGTAAATCAACGTCAGCAGTGTAGGCATCTCTCCAGTCTCCTGCGACCACACGCATTCACACCACGAAACCAGCACTCTTCTTCCCAATCACCTCTCCAGGAGGTAAAATATTCGCAGGCAAATTTCTTCTCGTGATATCGGCTGATCTTGTTCAACAGCCAACTCGATCGAGGAACAATACCTCTTCCGTCCTGCTCCGCAACGAGCAGATGCCTGATCGGGCACCTGTGGCGGCCCAAGACGCTTGAGAAACTCGGCCCACCAATGGCATAAAAGTGCTAGTGGACGATGGAAGAAGAGAGTAGAGTACTCAATCAGTAAAAGGGATATGAATGACGTGGACAAGAGGGTGGCAGGCAATTACCGGTACTAACACGGTATGAGTTGTAGTTATGGTGATGGAAAAGTTATTTATTGAGGTGGAGGATTCTCTAGAAGGGAGAATCTGACTATATTACGCCATCACGCTTTCCACGCTAGTCCTAAAACGGGATATAAACAAACCCACCCGTGATTACCACTAGTTAGGTATAGACACTTCCTCTAACACTCCCCTAAAGGGGCTATGCGTCTATATTTAGTAGTCTAAGCATAGAAGTAAATATAGGTAAAGCTAGTAGCTTTATATAGATATTAGTAGTATTTCTTATAGAAGTAATATACTTAATAGTAAACTTATTATCTAGATATTACTTATAGATATAATAGAAGTAAATAGTAATATACTTTAAATAAGTATTAATTTAGTAATCCTAAATTAAGGCTAAAGCTAGTATAGAGTTAGTTATTAGAATAAATTTATAAGAATTCCCTAGTTTATATTTAAGCTCTAGTAATATACTCTTTACCTATAGTAGATATAAAGTAGTATAGGAGTAAGCTATATATTTAGCCTTATATATAGATTTAGTAATATAGGATTAAAGTTTAGAGCTCTATAAGATTATAGATTCTCTAATCTAAAGAATATAACTATTTATTAATTAAGAATTATCTAGGTCTAAGCTATAGGAAGTATTATAGAATATTCTTACTAAGATTCTAGATAAAGTTTCTAAATCTACCTTCTTTATATTAGAGTAAGGGTACTAAAGTTTAAAGTATAGGCTCCCCTAAATATAGTAGAGTACCTAGTAGGTAAGCTTTAGATAAAGATTAGATAGGTTTAAATTAAACTTTAAGAGAGTTAAGATAGTATAGGCAAGATCTAGGTAAGTTCTAATAACTAAGTAATTTAGGTAACTAATTAATTATTAGTACTCCTTCTAGAGGTTAAGATCTATAGGGGCATCTTTTACTTATCTTAAGATTATAGAGTTTATATCTAGAGGTGTTTATTAAGAGTTATATTCTACTATTCTAAAGTGCCTAAGGACCCTTTAGGTATAGGTAGCTTATAAGATTATTAGTGTATCCTTATTCCTTATAATCTCTAGTCTAAGGAGATAGTGCACTATTCCTAGATCTTTGTATTTAAATTCTACTAAAATAGTCTCTTTAAAGTGTTAGATATTTATAGTATTTCTAATAAGTAGTAAATTATCTATATAGATAGTAATAGTAATTAGACTAGTAAACACGCATAGGTTATATATAGCTTGCTTATACCTAGCTAATAAGAGGTAAGTTTTTAAGAGTCTAAACTATTCTCTCCTAGATTATTTTAGACTATATAAGGATTTCTTAAGTATTAAAGATTTTCCTAGTTATATATATCCTAGTAGGCACCTTATATAGAGTTAGAGATCTATAGAAAGGGTAGTATTAAGGTAGGTAGTCTTAAAATTAATTTAGTAAATATCTAGGTCCTATTACACTACTTAGTAAAGTAGTAATCTAAGGGTGTTATACCTAATAACTAGTAAATAGGTTTTATAGTAGTCTATACTATAAACTTAAGAATAACCTTATATAACTAATCTAGCTTTATAGTATAAAATAGATCTATCTAGTACTATCTTAATATTAAAAACCTAGAGACTATTAATAAGATTTATAGCTTTAGATAATTTAATAGTTAGCTAAGTTCTATTATTAAGATAGGATTAAAGCTCCTGTTTAATAGCATTTTTCTAGTCTTCCTAATTTAGGTAGGTTTTAGCTTCTTTAATATTCTAAGGAATAAAATAGTTAGTTATTTAGTAAGTAATAAATATAGAGATTAGTTTATTATTAAGTAGCCTATCTAATTTATTAGGTTAGGCTTAAAGGCCTAGAGCTTCTCTTGCTTTTAAGGATAATATAGTCTTCCTTCTAGCTCTTATTATAGTAGGGTTAGATTAAGGTATATATCCTTTAGATAATTTCTTCCTTATAGCTACTAAAGGTCTTAAAGATTAGGGTTTTATATCTCTAATAGGAGCTACTTATAGAGATATTATAGACAATTATCTTTAGTATACGTTTTTTAGTAGGGGTGTTATAGGTCTATTCTCTTCCCTAAGGATCTTTACTAATAGATTATCTCTATCTTCCTAAATTATTAAATTATGCTCCCCTTAGCTTCTTAGAACGTTAAGTTATAAGAAGGTAGTAGGTTTAGTTAGGATATAGCTTAGGAAGATAATATCTTAGGAAATAAGAACTACTTATCTTAATAGGATAAAGATCTAGTATACCTTAGATATAACTCTATATCTAATAAAAATACTAAACTCTATCTAATAATAGAGTTTTATTCCTAGTTTATATACCTCTACTAGAATATATACTTATATATTTATTCCCTAAGGATATAAGTTCTAGATCTAAGGTTTGTAATTATAGAGAGCTTTAAATATAGTCCCTAGAAGTTTTAAATATAGCATAATATTTTTTAGGTATATAGTAGTATAAATTAGTTTAGCCTAAAGGAATATTAGGCTATTATTATCTAATATTATATAGGTAGCTATAATTATAGTTTAGTTAAAATGCTTAGCTAAACTATTTAACTTATAGCTATAGGTGTAACAAGGTAGGCGCCCTGCCTGTGAAATGAATACTACGTCATCTCCCCTGCCTGTACTACTTGGCTATGGTCCAAAAGGTACGCACGAGAATACTTAAGCTAAGTAATCCTCGCATAGTATAATATATATATCTTAGCTAAGCTTAGCCTAAGATAATAGTGCTAGACCCTAGCGCTAACCTATAAACCTTGTTTAAGTCTAGCCTAGGTATCTAGTAAGCGCTAGCTATTTTAGCCTAGCCTTGTTACACTACCTCCCTCCTTAAATGTCTTAGTCCCTAAGACAAGTAAGCTATAAGCTCTTTAGCTAAGGGCAATATATATCCGCTCTACCCCAATTAGGCTTAGCAAGCCCTAGCACTAACCCTAGAAATCTAGTCTAGCCTAGTCCTAAATAGGCCCTAGCACTAACCCTAGCAAATCTAGTCTAGCCTAGTCCCCTAAGCATAATTTAAGCTAGAGACAATCCGCGGATTTAAACTCTAGACCTTTAGGTTTGCTTAAGTATTATATAATAAGGTAGGCGCCCTACCTATAAAATAAATACTACGTTATCTCCCCTGCCTGTACCACTTGGCCATAGTCTAAAAGGTACGCACGAGAATACTTAAGCTAAGTAATCCTCGCATAGTATAATATATATATCTTAGCTAAGCTTAGCCTAAGATAATAGTGCTAGACCCTAGCGCTAACCCATAAACCTTGTTCAAGTCTAGCCTAGGCATCTAGTAAGCGCTAGCTATTTTAGCCTAGCCTTGTTACAATAGGGTAGTAATATATAGTAGATAATACCCTTTTAGATAAGGAATATCTATAATCTAGAATCTATATACTCTCCTCTATTATTAGTCTAGAAGACTTAGATATTAGCTTAGAATTATTATTTAAGGTAAGCAAAGAAATCCTGTTGCAGGAGGGATATCAACTGGATCACGGAGCATCTTGATCCGATCAACCCTGATCAATACCCCTGTATGACCCACTATCTGATCGACTGCCAGCTCACTGCCAAGTGCCCAACAAAAAGCAGGAGCTCTGGTAAGGAAGGTTTACCGATCATTCACCTTCTGGTAAGGGTAGCTGAAGCTCTATATATATGAGTACGATCGTAGTAGATACAATCCAATGATCCATCTCCCAAATCATTCCTAACCTCAGTGATCCAAATTTCCACAAATTCTTAATAGTTTAGGTTATATTATTTTTTTTCTTAAGGAAATAAACCTATATAAATTAGGTAGCTTTGTTAATAAAAGAAATATAGTACTAGGTACCTACTAGTAATACTTAAGAGAATTTTCTAGATAGGTTAGAATAAATAATTTGTAGGTGCTAAGCTATAGATAAAATAGTTTGCTCTTTTAGTTTCCTATATATAGACTTTAAAGATATATATTAAGGACACTTAAACTCTTAAGGCTTCTCTAGAATATATTAGTAATTATAATAGAGTAGTTTTAGGTTTTAAATCTAGAAGTAACTAAGAGTATAATAGAATTCTTTAAATAATATAAAATAAGCTCTATTATCTAGTACCTGTGTTTAGAGAGTAGCTAGTATAGCTAGGATTTATTATTAAGAGCTAGCATTATAATTAGGAG